ATCTGCGTTGAAACCGACCTATTCAACTGTAATTTACCGTCAATTAATTCAATATTTACATGTACGTTTACTAGGATTGACGAACACAATATGCCACATATATGTATATTTGCTTTACGTTACCGATTGCGAAGGTTAAAGGAAAGGTTAAATTCTTATCCTTTCAGTCTTGATGCAACTGAAACTATCAGTTGCCTCAGCTGTCTAATAATAATAATAATTAATAAAAACGTCTTTTTACTTCCTTTTTATTTGTTAAATATACAAATGTACAGTCGATATTCAGTTGTATTGTGATAGGTGAAAAGGGGAAAATAAAGCCTAATAATCGATGATGAACTGATTCGATTTTATATGCTCACTCTGCACTACGCCTATACTACTGAGGCCTAATGTGGTAATGCACTGATTCCAGTCAACAAGCTAAAGACGTCGAGAACTCCATCCTGCCATGTTGCACTGTTGGTCATACGAATAGTCTCTGACCAACAATGATAAGCACTGTTCGAAATTCTGCGAGAAATGTATGGTTCTGAATGAATCTATGTGTGCAACGTCAAGCTGCAAACGAGATTCCAGTCAACGGATACCGGATATTATTGGGATAGCTGACAAGTAGGCAGCGAAAGTTGTGCTCAATGAAGTACGTTCAAACCCACTCAAATAGCGTGTGTTTGAGATCCAACCCCAATTTTTATCCCTTGCCACAATGGAATGCTCGTTAGTCTATTCCATACAACAAAGCTTGTTTGCCATTTTACATTCCCATCAAACGTACAATTATTGATATTATTAGTATTATTGATATTAATAATAATAATATTATTATTATTATTATTATTATTATTATGGAACCCCGTACGTGAGAGGGACCAACAAAGGCGGGTAGTCGTGGAACTCAAACATATTTCTTAATACGACAGAAAGAGCGACGTAAACTGCTAAGTAGCCACTGATCCATACTCGGATAACCACAAAACTCCTTTTCCTCAGCATCCCTTCTTTGAGTACCCGAAATCTACAGTCAGTTTTATTTGTCAACTGAAAAGAAACCTACTAAAGTAAAATGAAGTGAATCACAACTATGTTGCATGATTTAGAAACGCCATTTTTTTAGAGAAACACTTGACAACATCAGCCGTTACTCACCTCCCACTGGTCCTCCAATAAGAAATCCGACAGCTTCGAACTGGAACAAGTATGATACTGCCTCATCGTAACGTTGAGGGCCGACAATCTGGAAGGTCATACCCGGAGCGAAGGCAAAACTAGGACTGACAAGTAGACCGTAAATAATGCACAATGCAGATATGGCACTGTAGCTCTGAAATATCGGCAGGAGGGCGACACAACCGGACACCAGGAGCAAGCAAAATGCCGAAGTAAAGCGAATATCCATTCGTTCAAAAAACTGTCCCACAAATCCCATCCCCAAACGTCCAATCATCGCGGTCACCCCAACAAACGAGAGCAGTGTGGCTGAACGTTCTTCACCAAACCCCATTTCCAAACCGAAATTTCTCAGATGCGCATACATAACGGAATCGGTGACA